GTAACCTTATTACCAATATGGGTACGTTTCGCGTTCGAGGCGTTTTCAATGATCAATTGCATAGGACCTGCAAATCAAAGACGTTGGTTTTTTGATTCTAATGATATAATTTCAAAATGTGTTTGCAAATTTTACTGCTTTTCATTTCAAGTTTATTCTGCATAAATTGGCGCACTGTAAAAATACGTACTCATGCATCTAAATTTCTCTTCCAAACTTGCATTTTTTTCTTTTGATTCAAATCAATAATCATTCAAAAATATGATTATTATGTTGTTTATTTTGTTTTTGAAATGTCTTGATCACCTCACTTTACCATCGGAGATGTGCACAAGTCGATACCCAATCCAAAAAATCATTCAAGTGTAACGAGCGCATTGGGGTATACATCGTTACAATGAGACAAGGTATCTGAAAGAAATATGGCGGAACACGGCTATAGTTGGTATGAAACAAGTCGTACATAGATGAAAATGTTGCGTATTTAAAATTCATGTCACTTTAACTTAGGAATATCTTGAAAAATTATCAGTAGGTAACTTCACCAGTTCAAACTTAACCATGTCAATTGTCAAATAGTGACAATCCCAGTAACTGGACAGTCACAGAATTAAAGAAAAAGCCTTCAGATAATGGAATTAACACTAATGTGAATAATAGTCACAGTATTCTCAAAAGGATTTATTTAGACAATGTTCAATCTGTACAGGGTCAACAATTAAGGCTTATGAGAATAAGCTAGTTTATGTTGAAAAGAATACCGTAACTTTAACATCTACCAGGTTAGGTTCTGATAGTTACATTTTTAAATTTGTTCAATGTTTCCCTGATTGGCTGTTATTTATAAACTAGTTTCAGTGGCAGAGTGGATTGTAAACAGAAGTCTAATATTTTATTGCCCGTTTTCCACAGACTTAAATTCTAATTGTGACTGTGCATTGTGTGCACATAATTATGTGAGATTTGTGAACAATTTTAATACAGAATTTGTATGTTTTCGTGATTATAAAATGTAATCGTAGTTTGGAATCCACAGACAGTTATCTCACAATGGCGGATGGTAATTCAAGACTGCGCACTCGCCAGCGTCCACTATAAAATATGTCAAGTTGATGGGACGCTACAAACGTAAACAATTGGACAACTACACAGTTTCAAGAAGAACTTCTGAAATTAAACATTCGCGTCCCTGCCAATAATGGAAAGGCGACACTTAGAAAACTCTACTTGGAAAATGTAAACAGTACCCCCGCGGTGAGAGAACGGCAGGAAAATGACTCTTCCCAAAATGTCAACCTGATGAGTTTACTAATTCCTCGACAGAAGCACCCATTGTGACACAGACTGAGGAAACTTCAAGCATCGGAACATCTACACATACCGAGTTTACCGACCAGACCGTCCAACGTTCTCAAACGCATATGAATTCGTGCTTGGAATCCTTGAATAACAGTTCCAACATGGCCGCCACTGTAAAAAATCAAGTTATCAGCGGCATGCTGAATACTATGAACACAATGCAACAAACCGTTATGAGTCTACAACAGACAGTGCTCCGTCTGATGTCAGATAAGACGGGAAATACAGGAAATAGCAACAATGACAAGGGGAATTCACTGGACACGGCATATGCCATTACATGTATATTTCATTCCCAAATTGGGCAGACTCAAAATAATGTAACTTGTTTTAAATAGCTTATATTCTGTCATTTTGAGTACACAGCAATTATATCCACAAGCTCTTACATCATTGACGCAGTCTAACAAAAACAACAAAGCTAAGGACAGCCTTCAAACAGCCACTGGGGGCTGCAACTGCTTATGGTTGTATTTGGCTGTTTTGGTGTACAATTGTGACAAATTCTTTAAATATTTTCAATATTTTAACCAATATCCCCCAAGTTTTCTCCAGGGAGTTCCTGTTTTGGAAACAATCAAGCAATTTTTGAAAAATTATGTCCATTGGACAGTTTCTCTCCCTTTTCTTTGCAGATGTTGCACATACTGATATGAAATATTTTACACAGGTTTATCTAATTAGAGTTCTGCTCTGTGTATGATTGAGCAATTTTTGACTGAGTTATGCTCCTTGGACTTATAAAAATTCCAATTAATGGGCGGGGGGGGGGGGGAGGGGGGCAAAAGTTTTCACGATATCTCTAGATTGAAAGCCCTTTATATTCTTTTTTCCCCCTTTTTTACAGAGGAAGAAGTGGAGAATTTATATAAGCATGTGCTTACTCAGACATTCTCCATTCAGGAGTTAAAAAACTCCTCTGTTATGGGGCACAAGAATGCCAACAAAGACAGGTGATAAGAAGGGCGTCAATGCTACAAGGAGGTCCAAAAGCGAAAGTGAGTTATTTATGTTTGGGATCCATGTGCTTATTCTTGTTATGTCTCCTGAATCAGAAATTCTGCTTTTGGGGACAACTTTAGTCATTTTTAGCCAAAGGCTCAAAGAACAATGAATTTTTCTGATCAAAATGTGTCTGTTGTTGTAATCATTCTAAACTTTTAACAATTCACCATCTTCTCAGCCAGAAGCGAAATTTTCCATGCCTGGTGGTTCTTACAGAGCTGTGGAAAACTTTTTCAGATAGCCAGTCTTTTTGGACCGGCAAAAAGACAAGATATGCCGGTCCGAAGTGATTTTTGCCGGTCCGAAATATTAAGTTGCAAAATTAAAAACAAAAGCATAACATTTATTTTCTTAATTACACTTTACTTAATAATAACATTCAGTCTCCATTTCCAAGTCCTCCTCCGTTTTCGTTTTTTGCATTTATTACAATACTAGATTTCATAACTTTTGGGCAGGTGTCAATGATAATTCTGCATAGTAAACGTAATTTTTTAAAACATTTTCGAATTATAATTTACCTCGAAAATGAGTCTAAGAAATTCTGTACAGCGATAATTAAGATACCACATAATGAAATCGATGGAAAAAAAAAAAAAAAATCTGGGACAGTCGGGAACAACGGAAGTACTAGGTTAAGGTTTACTGCCGTACTCAACTGAAGTGATTTTTTTCTGTAGAAATGTTTTACATACCCAGGTAATTAGCCTGTCTTTATCTTTTTTTTATGTTTTCTACCTAATTCTGTCCCATTTGTAAATTTAAAAGGTCACGCGAGACAATGCTGGTTTCACTTTCATTCATAGCCTCGATCTCATGCAAAGAAAAAGTATTGCGCAATCGTATATAAGGACAATAATTCAGCTGGGAAGTGCCCGATGATAGGCCTGAATTAAACCCCTTTTATGCTACGCGCGACTATAGTCGCGCTGTATTACTAGGCCCCACTGCTGAGCGCGACTTTTGTCGTTTTCATACCTGAAATAACTTTTGGGGAATTCCATTCGCTTGGGTTGTGATGATGACTGAATAAATTTGTTACAACATTTCTGATTGGTTACTTTATTCGTTAGGAAGGTTTCTAGAGTTATTAGAGTAATATAATGGAAAATACAGAGGTTGAATGTTTACGAAAAAAATCGATTGAAATAAAATGGCGAATGTAAACTGAAGCGACGACGAGGAAGTATTACAGTTTTTTAACGACGATAGTGACGAAGAGGCAGAGTTTGAAGGATTGGAAGTTGGAGATGTGCAATTAGGAAATAGAAATGTACTTGCACAAGTACCGATGGGTGACTTGGGTACCCGACAATACCGGGATTTACCCATAGATGTTGAAGAAGGTTGGTCTCGGGATGACGCCACGCCGATGAATGCACCCTTCATTGGAGAAGAGAAGTTAAACGTGAACATGGATGATTTTCAGCCATTAACTTTTCTTAAACTATTTGTCAATGATGATTTTATAAATTTATTGGTCGAACAAACAAATTTGTATGCCAAAAGACGAGTAAAGCCGAAAATGTTAGCCAGCACAGTCGGCTGAAACAATGGCGTCCCGTCAACATGGCGGAGATGAAAGTTTTTCTGAGCTTGGTAATTTGCATGGGACTAGTGCAGAAGAATGACGTTCACGACTACTGGGCAACAGATGATGTTCAGGACACTCCATTCTTCCGAGAACAAATGTCCAGGGATCGTTTTTTACTCATTTTGAGTAACTTTCATGTCACAGACAATGAACTTCAGGTACCCAGAGGACAGGTGGGCTTTGATCCGTTATTCAAGGTGAGGCCGTTTGTAAACCAAGTTTTGGATGCATTTAGTGATGTGTATTCCCCTGACAAAGACTTGAGTTTTGATGAAGCAACTTGTGCTTGGAAAGGGAGGTTGAGATTTAGAGTTTACAACCCAGCAAAACCTACCAAGTTCGGCATCAAGCTCTACCAAGTTTGTGAGGCAAAGTCGGGGTACTGCATTGGCTTCGATATCTACACTGGAAGCACACCTTGCACTCAGTATGCAGATGCAATTGGTGTAGATGAAGACTACACCATGACTACAAGAACAGTGATGGGCCTACTAACAAGATGTGGACTTCTAGATCGAGGACATCACGTTTATATGGACAATTACTACACGTCACCCGAGTTGTTTGAAGAGTTACGACTTCATAACACTTATGCTTGTGGGACACTTAGGAAAAACAGAAGAGGTGTACCAGAAGCCATCAAAAGAAATGTAAGACTGAAACAATCTCAAGTTATTTTCAGAAAAAAAGAAACAACAGAAATGCTGGCTGTGAAATATCACGACAAGCGAGATGTTCACATGCTTACCACCATCCATGAAGCCAACATGTCCGTGCTCAACAAACGTGACAGAACAACCAATGAATACATTGCCAAACCAACCTGTATTGTTGAGTACATAAGTCAGATGGGAGGAGTAGACTTATCAGATCAAATAAGTCAGTATGACACTTGTCTGCGCAAAACAACGAAGTGGTACAAGAAATTATTCTTCCACTTGTTCAACCTGTGTGTCGTCAATGCGTACCTTTTGTACCGCAAATTTAACAATGATGAGAAAAAGCTAGACAGCCATGGATTTAAAATGGCTATAGCAACAGCCCTCATAGATGAAGCTCCCGATGTTCCCAAACCTAACACCAGCAAAGGAAGGAAGCATACAGGAGACAAAGCAGCCCGGCTTACAGAACGCCACTTCCCAGATCACATTCCGGCAAAGCCAGGTGCGAAACGAGCTAAGCCATGTAGGGATTGCTATGCCTGTAATCCAAAGAAATCCAACAGACAAGGGTTCAAAATGAAACAGACTACTTTCTGGTGCCCAGACTGTAAGAAACCACTGTGTGTTCCTGACTGCTTCCGAACATACTTCTCTACAGCATTACCGAGCTGTATTGTTACCTGGGGCAGGTAATGAGGACAGCAGTGACACTGATAGTGACTGAACATTGTCATGTTTGTTGATTATGATTATGATGAATTGATGCATTGATTTCAAGTGAAAAATAACACTAAAAAGACATTCTCTATCAAATTTTATTTCATGTTCTTTGTATTTTCTTACCTTGTTTTGAATTTTGTTACCTGTTCGTCAAACATGAATCAATTTGATATAATGTTGATTTTTTTAAATTTGGATATATATGAAACATTTTCTAATTCATTGCTGGTAAATAAATATAAAAATGGTGAATAAATAAGCTTTTAATCAACACTAGTATTTATTTTTAGTATTTTTCACCCTTAAACTTACCTGTACAGGTAAATATCAAAAATTTGAGAAAAATAAAATCATGTTTGAAATCCTTGACTTTTTCTCATAAATTTTCATATAACTTTTATGTATGTAATGTGAAAAATAACTGATCTATGAGCTTTTGAAAAAGTCAAGCATTTTTCTGTGATTTATCTAAATTAATTCAGCAGTGGCAGGCTCTGTAGCTAAATTTATCTCAGCAGCCTAAGGGTTAAAATGGAAAAAAACAAAAACCTTTAACAAAGACAGAGGTCAGTCATTTGGACCGACATCGACCGGTCACGGGCATTTTTTGCCGGTCTTGCCGGCATGACCGGCAGTTTTCCACTGCTCTGGTTCTTATAAACATCTTTTACTGTAGTCCCTTGCAGAAATAAATCCTGGAGGGTCAGGACACGTCAAGATATCCTGGTATTTTCCTGAGATATCCTGACATGTCCTGCTCTCCAAAATTTTTGATCCTGACAATTGTCAAATCCTGAGATGTCCTGATATCAGGTTCAGGATTTTATCAGGACATGTCAGGACTTTATTTTAAATCTTTACCAGAACAGGATCTTCCCTGGATTTTTCAGGACCTGACATTTTCTGAACTTAAATCAACTGAATCAAGCAAGTCCTGGGAAATCTTGAGATGGGGACTGTTGAATTTTAAAGTCCTGCAATTACCCTGAAGTCAAGACTTTTTCATTTAATACTCATTTCAAAAATATGAATATATATATTTACACTGTATTGATGATGGGAGTCACCTTAAAGGGGATATGCAATGCCCACTGTAATAATTTATGTTTGTTACGTCACCACAAAATAACCACAGCAAAAAACCGCATCGAAATCCATGCAGTATTTATAGAGTTATTCCGCTTGTAAAATGTCTTTTTTTTTACCTGCACTGGAAATCTAATTAAGAGAAAATAGTAACAGTCGAAAACAAGGCTCTGCTGTTGTGACATCAGAACGAGGACTATGGCAGCTAATACAGATAGCGATTATAGCGGTTATAGTGACAAAAACGGCGATGGGGAGGTTGGTTCATCAAGTTTTGAGGAACCGATCGATGAGATGACCAATTAGGGCACAAAATCATATCTTTTTGAGCCTGAAGCGAGTTCAGACAAGGAATCAATGGCAGGAAGTCCCTCGGAAGCCACAGATCAAGATCGACTTGAAAACAATGACTGGTACTTATCTATCCTATATTTGGTCTTAATGGGCTTTTATATTATTATTCAATACATTGAAGTAAAGCTATATGTTCATGATCAATTATATAAACAGTGTATTATTTAAAATTGGAATTATTCTGATCATTGGAATTTGGGGTTTTCAAGAAAAAATCCCTTAGTTAGACTAACTTAGACAACTAACAAGAATTTCCATTGCATTTTGTGTTAGTATTTGACTAAACTTAGTTAACTAACAAGAATTTCTATTGCAAATTGTCTTAGTATTTGACTAACTTAGTTAACTAACATGAATATTTCTTATAAAATTTGGCTAAGTTTTAGAATTTAAGTTTTTTTTCTATTTATTTTATAATTATTTTGTGTTAATTTATTTTATTTGTTTCTGGAATGTTGTTTGTGCTGGTGTTCTTTTTTTTCTTTGCATGCATTTTGTTTTTTGGACTTAGCCTAAAGTCAAGGCTTAGTCAGATTTTTGTCAGTATCAGCAGGGTTAGTTAGCGCACGCGAAAAATGGGGTTAGTCATGCCAGGCACAACTAACCCCCTACTGCGCCTGCGCCGCTACTTTCTAATCGTAGATTATGATGAAAAAACGTTCAAATTAACATCCCATCGTGAATAATGTTCAGTAAATACTCTCAAATGATTCCAGAATCCTCACCAGCTTGCGTAAATTTCGTAACTCGCAATGATTACACTCAAACGCCGAGGAAGGTCGGGTCATTTCGTTGTCTCCAATTTTTCACTAACCTTGCAGTTTCATTCGAAAAATCCCATCCTTCGCGTCAACATTACCAAGAAAATGCTGTAGTAAATAAAAATATGTTAACAAAAGGAAAACATGCTTTGAAACGCGGAGAAACACGAAGATATGTAGCCTCCTTCGATCTAAACACAGCCAGTGCAGACACAGCTCGGCGTCACTTCCGCTGTGACGTCAGATTCATTCCCTATTCAATCGTAGCTACTCTGCTATTTCCAAAACCTCTTCGGGTCTTGTTCTCCTATACGGGAAAAAGGGCGAGTTTATCCGACCCCCTCCATTATATTGGGGTTTTCATTCGTAATATTCTTTGGACAGTGTTATCCAATATTTTAGAAAATGTTAATTAATAAATATACATAAAGTCTTGTGACGAGATTACTTGAAAAAACGTATTTATTAGATTTAATCCAC